ATAGCAACCAATTTACTATCTACAATAGTTCACCTTTATCCGTGGGGGATATGATCTAAGACCCTCAGCGAATGCCTGAAATCACAGATAGTACTGAATCCTATATATACTATGTTTTTTTCCTATACATATATGCCTATGATAAAGTTTAAGTTATAAATTAGGTACAGTACTCTTGCACTTTGGGGCCCACTGTTAAGTAAAGTAAAGGTTACTTAAATACAAGCATTGCAATACCGGGACAGGTGATCTGATAACCAAGATGGCTGCTAAGTGACTAATGGATGTGTGGGACACGCAGCATGGATACACTGGACAAAACAATGAGTCACGTCCCAAACAGGATGAAGTGAGATGAAACTTCATTATGCTACTCAGAATGATGTGCACTTTAAAACTTATGAGTTGTTTATTTCTGGAATTTTCCATATAATATGTTTGGACCATGGTTGACCTTGGGTAACTGAAACCTCCAAAAGTGAAACTGCAGGGCCGAGCCCGTGGCGCACTCGGGAGAGTGCGGCACTGGAAGCGCAGCGCTTCCACCGCGGGTTCAGATCCTATATAGGGATGACCAGTGTGCTCCCAGCGCTCACTGGCTGAGCGCAGTGTGGCCGGTCTCAAAAAAAGGACAAAAAAAAAAAAAAAAAAAAAAATAGTGAAACTGCAGAAAGCAAAAATGCAGACAAGAGGAAACTACTGTATATGTGTCCCATAGCATCATGTTGTAAACCTCAAACATACATAATAAAATTTATTTTTAAAAAAGGATAGTACATTATGTCTAAGTGCAGTTTATCCCAGGAATGCAAGATTGGTGGAACACTGGTCAAGCAATGAGTGCAACTGACCATGTTAACAATCTGAATGAGAAAAATAATATGATCATCTCAAAAGACTCAGAAAAAAACATGCAACAAAATCCATTATCCATTTTGATGGAAGCTCTCAGCAAACTAGGAACAGAAAGAAATTTTATTAACCTGATAAAGGCTAGCAATGAAAAATCAAAAGTTAGGATACTTAGCAGTGTTTTTTTCCTTAAGATCAGAAACAAGACAGGGTGCCTCATCTCATTTGTTCTGTTCAACATTATACTCGTGGGTCTAGCCTGTGCATTAAAGCAAGATGGGAGATATGTATAGAAGGCAACCAAACTGAAAAAAAAAAAGTTAAACTATGTTTATTTGCAGGCATGATTGTCTATATAGAAAATCCAATGAAATCTACCCAAAAACATGCTACTTAAACTAATAAGTGAGTTTGTCATGGTTGAAGAATATAAGAAAAAACATAACTCAATTTTATTTCTATATTGTCTTAGTCTGTTCCACTGCTATAACAAAATACCTTAGACTGGGTAATTTACAAACAATAGAAATTTATTGCTCACAGTTCTGGGGGCTGAGAAGTTCAAGATCAAGTCACCAGCAAATTCAGTGTCTAGTAAGGGCTCGCTCTCTGCTTCATAGATGGTGCCTTGTTGCTACATCTTCACGTGACAGAATGAGCAAGCAGGCTCCCTCAAGAATCTTTTATAAGGGCATTAATCTCATTCATTAGGGCTTCATCCTCTTGACCTAATCACCTACCAAAGGTCTTACCTCTTAATACTATGACATTGGGAATTAAGTTCTAAAATATAAATTCTGGGAGGACACCAACATTTGGATCATAACATGTAGATACAAAATAATTGAAAATTAAAATTAAAAAATAAACTATTTATAATAGCATCATGCTATTAACTACTTATGGACAAATCTGACAGAAGATATGCAAGACCTACATACTGAAAACTACAAAATATTGCTGAGAGAAACACTATTTTAAGACCTTACCAAAACATAAATAAACAAATAGAAATCCTGATTTTTTGCAACCTTTCTTTAATGTTCTTATTTATTTACTAATGAGTTCATAGCTGCAAATAGAATAAATAATAAAAAGGGTTAATGTCATTCCCTATCATAGAAATTCATATGAGAATCTCAAAGAACATTAATGTGGAAATATAATCAAGTCAACAGTTGACCTGGAAAGCTTTATTCTTTCAATATTTATTGAGAGCTTAGCAGGTGTCAAACATTCTGTTTTACACTAGGTGAATAAAAGATGTAGCTCTGCCCTCATGGTGCTATTATCTAACAGAGGGAAATAAAAAATAAACAAGTAAATAAATATAAATAATTTAGAAATTGTAATTAGGGCCATAAAAGTAATAACACAGAAATGGGGCAGGGGGAGAGGGTTGCTACTTAGATAGGATGGTCACAGAAAGTCTCTCTAAGTGGCCATTTAGGCCAATACCTGAAGAAGCAGGATAAACCCGCCAGACACAGGAATGATCTTAGTCAAAGGAACAGCATTTGGGAAAGCCCTGGGTAGGCAATAGAGGGCGGAGGTAAAGGAGAATTTGCTGTGCTCTAAAATCCAAAAGAAAGCCAATTTGGCTGGAGTATAGGAAGAGTGGAGTAGAAGGAAAGACAGTCTAATGATCATACGAGAGGTAGGCAGGGGTCAGATCACAGAATCATGTAGGACTGGGATTTTATTCAAAGTGTGATGAGAAGCTATATTTTACAGTTATAACTAGGCTACAGACAAGATTAGATTTTTATTTTTAAAAGATTACCATATTTGCCCTGGTGGAGAATCAACTGTGCGCAATATAAGTTGTCACATTAAAAATGCTGACTAATACATGATATGTTTTTATTTAAACAAAAAAATACATAACAGAACTCAAAAGAAAGCAACAGAGATGTAGAAAGCGGGACTCTACCTAAATAGAGGTCCTGGGGATTGGGATTCCTACATATTTGAAGACAAGATTGCTGAAATAAAGTTAAGTGCCTAGAAAAGATGGACCATGTGATAACAGAGGTTTGGAAAAACCTTAGCGGATTGCTCTGGAAAAGCAGCAGTAAGGAAGCTTGCTATCTGTGAGTAATATTTTATGTACATATGTATATTAAAGGCACTTTAAAAAAACTGACACCTGAGACCTGTATCACATGAGGGTGGGATCCAAATTTATATTATGAGTTGAAAAAACTACCTTAAATCAGGTTTAAAACAATTGAAACTTTTAGGGCCTAGCAAAACCACAATCTGTAGAAACACTGTCTCAACCCAGAGAACAGAGGACTCCCGCAGAACAAAGAACTTCTTTGAAGATAAGCTCCCATTAGAATATTATACATCATTTGAAGAAACCAGCCACCATGAGGGAGAGCCAACAGAAACAGCCAACAGGAGATTTTAGAACCTTGCAAACTAGAAGTTATAATTCTATACAGATGGATTTTATTATCTTTCACTATATTTTGCCCAGCTTTGGTTTTCATTCAGGGCCAATGCAAAACTTTTAAAAATACCATAATTTCCATCTCTATTAAGATTATTGGACTGGCCGGTTAGGTCAGTTGTTTACAGCACTGTGATTATAACACCAATGGCAAGGGTTCAGATCCCCTTTACAGGCGAGCCGCCAGAAAATAAAAAATAAGATTATGCTAATTCTTAAAATATACCCATAGTGACCTAAGGAAAATTTCTGTACAAAATTCAACATGGGGCACACAAGGCGGTTCCACACTGTTATTAGATGAACTACTGCAGCTATTGCCTACAAATGCGAAACCAGATTGCCACTGATCCTCCTCTACTGTTTTGGAGCTAGATTATCTATACCTGTACTTTAAGGTATTTAGTCTATGCTCAAAAACTAGATGAAACTATCTCCTCCAATTCTTTTAAATGGCATTTTAATTTTTAAATGTTATGAAAAATGAGTTCACATCTAAAATGAAGCGTCTGTGACATCCGCGTATTTGAGAAACAACTTTAAAAAGCTCAAAGATTAAAAGGGAAATACCAAACATCCTTTACCTTCTGAAGTACTTATTTTAAGTTTTTCTTGATGTGTTTTATTTTCCAGTCTACTCCTTTATTTCAATTTGTTTAAATGCAAGCCAAAATAATGAGTTCTTTACTGCAAAACAGTGCAAATTTTTACTGCAAAATAGTGCAAAGAGAAACGCAGAAAACAGAACTGGTCTCTTTTAAATCATCCTGATCAATGTAGCTTTGACAACGCTCGCATTTTTAAATGTTCGCAATCCTACTTAAAATGAGCAAATGGAAGCCTAGGAACGTTAGTGTTCAAGGCATACGCAGAACTACAAAATCAGGACTCCAGGCAAGATCCTAAGAAATGTTTTCCCATCCCCCAGAGCCGACGTTTTAAATGGTCTTCCGTCAACATAAAAGCAGACGGAACATCTATTTTAAAAGAGGGACTTGAGAAATCCCTTAGGAGAAAGGGCACAAATTAGCCAGAATCATTCACAAAAGAAATATCAAAAAAACTGCCCACAAAGCAAAAAAAAAAAAAAAAAAAAAAAATCCGGGAGACGCTATATAGCCCGTGCGACAGGGTTATGTCAAACGTGTCTGTTCCCAGCCCTCTTAAATATTTCTTCATCATTGAAACCCTAAATCTGATGATTTTCCTCAGTCGGTCTGAAGGATGTTTCCAGCGCACTTCACGATCCCAGCCCAGCACACGACCGTGAAGGCTACCTACGCTACAAGCCAAAGGGCGCACCGCCCGCCACCAGATACAGGACTCCGCCCCAGCGAATTTACGGAGGACCCCAAGAAGCATTGACGCCCTCCCTTTTCCTCCACCGATTCATAGCCACTTCCTAACTGCCTGTTTATCTCCATTATTATCCCAACCGCCATTTCTTATCTTATCTCTTGAAGCGATTAACCAGCGAGAATGAGACATAGCGACAGAGAGTAGAGCCAAGTCAGGGGACACGAACGTCTGGGTGGCATGGTTTCCTTAGGCACTGCTGAAGGGAGCCTCCGGCACTGCCGAAGGCAGCCTCGGAGGGAGTCGGACCCTGAAGCCGGAGAGAGAGGGGGCCTTGTGTCCGGAGCTGATTGGCCGGTCGGCCGCGGCCGGGGAAGAACCCGGATGTGCCTGGGCGGCCGTGTTGGCAGTTGGTGCTCTGGGACTTGGGCTCTCTGGGGGTACCGACAGCTGGGGCGGATGGCGCAGGGTTGGGCCGGTTTTTCTGAGGAGGAGCTGAGGAGACTAAAACAGGCTAAAGGTAACGGGATGTGCGTGTAGAGGTTTAATTCTTGGGTCTGTTAAGGGGGAGGGGCGGGGCTGCAGCTTCGAGGGGGAAGGGGCGGGGAGGAAGCTATGTGTGGTGGGGGAAGGAGCTGTAAGTGGGTGGACAGGATTGAGGGGGCTACTGAGATGAATGTACTGCAGCTACGTGGGAGGGGCGAGCCCAGGGGACTGGAGTCTTCTTTTAGAAAAGAGGGTTCAGGAATCCACTTCAGGGCTTTGACTTTTCCCTGTGAAAGGAATGGGATTTGGTAGAGGAAGTGAGCCTACGGCCTAGGTGGATCCTATCGGGAGGATTGCTGCACGAATCAGTGGTTGGACGGTTGGGGTCAGGGTAAAGGAAGGAGGAAGGGCATACACTATATTAGAATTGTGATAGATTTATAGAAGCAGGTAATGATTGGAAAAGAGAGCACAGGGGTCTGAATAAACTCAAAAATCTTCGGTGCTTTTCATGATACATCTGGAGTATTGCGTTCACTTCTGGTTGCCAGATGATTTTGCAGTTCTTTCCAACTCTTGAGAGTCAACAAACCAAAAGAGTCTTTGAGAGGTTAGATGTGAAGCCTTTGTATGCATATATGCGCACGAATATAGCCCTGCTGACTTCGGGGTAAGCTAAAATCTTGTGCTTCCCTGTCCAGCTTTATAGAGTAATCACTGAATGGGCTCGTACTATTTTTTAAACTTTTGATGAGTGAATTAAGTTTGCTGATACTTGGTGGGAAACTCTTAGTGATGTAAAATATGCTTTGCTTGTGGTTGAAATTTTTTAAAGATCTGTATGGTAATCCTGGTAGTACACACAACTTCTGTGAGAAGTTTACAACACTCTTGGTACCATAATTTAAATACTTTAGGAAGAAAATTAAATAAATTGTCATGCCATTATTAGAGTTTGTGGGAAAATTGGATTTTGCTCAGTTAGCCTGTGCATTTTTAGCATAGATGTGAGAATAATGTAGGACTAACAAGTGGAAAAGGAAGTAAATTAGTAGCATAGAGCCAGTGTAGGTTACATAGATTCGGGAAATTTCGACTGGTCCAGAGGCCTTTAAAAATTATATCATAAAGTGTGTGGTTAACTGAGTCTATCTAGCTTGATGTACTCAGATTCTTTTGCTTGTGTTTTTAACATCCACTCACATATTTAGATGTACAGAGTACAGGTACCTTTGCTTCTGATCTGACTTCAAGATCTGGGTATCAGTTTTTGCATTAGGCATACAAAGATGAACAAGGCATCACCGCTACCTTCAAAGAGCTTATAGTCTGTTCAGAAGATAAGCCAGAAAATAACGTAATGGTAGATGTTGTACAAGAGCTTGCTACAGAACTAGGAGGAACCTCACTGTGCTGTGAGTTGGAAAGATTTCACAGAGGTTATATGTTAGCAGAGACGAGTCAGGCAAAGTAAAGAAGACTTAATGTAGAAGTCTAACAATACACCTGTGATGTAGAAGTATACGAGGGTACCTCAGAAAGATCATGGAAAAATTTATATTATCTTTTCAATTCTATTTTTCCATTAACTTTTTGAAGTACAATTGTATTTTGTAATATCTGTACAGTTTGACATAGATAGAGGGTGTTAAGGGCCTGCGGTTTGATAGGGAGACATTAGAGCGTGGACACCAAATCTCCAGCATATGAGCACCTGAGGACAGAGAAAACATCTTAGCAACTTTGTATACCTATAATCAAACACAGTAATTGGCATAAAGACATCCCAGCTCTGCCTCAGTCTTTTTGCCTTGGATTTCTCAGGAGAGTTGGATGTTCTCCAAACTTAAAAATGCAATTAAATGATTTAGGAAGATGAGGTTGGTTGCCAGCATAAATAAGGACAACAGTACTCTGGAGACACCTGTTGTACATTGGGCAATGTGGTCAAGAATGTCCTTAACAGTATTGTTTATAATATTAAAAGTTGGAAACAACCAAAAAGGTTCATTAACAAGGAAATGGATAAGTAAGTTATGGTATACTCATCTAGTTTGTTACTATACAGCTAGTGGGAATATATTACCTATAGCCACATGCATTAACATATATAAATTACATAAGTATAATGTATGAAAAGAGCAAATTGCAGATGAATATATACTGTCTGGTACCATTTATATAAGGCCAAAATCATACAAAGTCATGTACAAAGAATATACATGTACATTCTTTTAGGGATATTGAAAATCTATAAAGAAAACCAAAGGAATGAATCACAAAATGCGAATTGGTGGGGAGGCAAGGGGATGTGATCAGGGAGGGGCAAATACATAGGGGGTTTCAGAGGTATTGCTAATTATGAAATATTAAGCCAAGTTATGCAGAAGTTACAAATAACCCTCAAATATCGATTGCTTGAAATAATAAAGATTTATTTTTCACTCTAGTTTCATATCTAACCTGGGTTGTCAGGTGACTTTGCTCCACGTAGTCACTCCATACCATGACAGGTGGAAAAGAAGATTGAAAATTGAACATTGGCAATTAAATGCTTTTACCAGTAAATTACACGTGTCACTCCTACTTATATTTCATTTTAACAAAAGAAAGTCATTTGATTTGGGGGACAGGAAATAAATTCTGTTGTGTGTTCCAAAAGAGGGAGGATATGTCTATCCTTGAACAGCAGTATGTCTCCCACAGTTACCTCATGTTTTATTTCTTAAATTGTGTTGTTATTTTTAATAAACCATACAGGTTGGAAGAGTGTGTATGTGACATATACATACATATATATATATATATATATTTGATGTATGATCTATTTCATAATGAAAAAATTAGAAGTAAAAAAATAGGCCACATGCTGTCAATTTCTAGTTAAAGGAAGTATTTATTCCTAAAAGTTCTTAATTCTTGATACTAGTTCTTTGCCATTTGAGTATCTTCTCCCAGTTTGTAACTTGTCTTTTAACTTTTGTCTTTTGATAAACTGAGTATTTAATTTTAATATATTCATATTTGTCAGTCTTTTTCTAAAGCTAACATTTCTGTGTCTTAAGAAATCAGTCTCCTACTATAAGGTCTAAATGATATTAATCTTTACTTTCTGTTAATTTATATATGTGAGGTATGGGTCTGATTTTATCTTTTCCATATAGAAGACCACTTTTACCCCAGACCCATTTATTAAATAATTACACCTTTTGCTGCTGATTTGACTGACATTCAGCCTCTGTCATATACCAGCACTTCATACATGTATTAATCAGTTTCTGGGTTCTCTACCATTGGTCATTTTGTACCACACTTAAAAGCTTCGTAATGTTCCTGATATCCAATAGTCTAGTCCTTTTGCTCTTCTTCTTTACAACTTCACTTGCTATTCTTGAACCTTTATCCTTTCATATAATATTTTCTAATAATTTTACTAAATTTCATGGAAAACCCAGTAGGATTTTTGATAGGAATTGCATTGAATCTTTCAGTCAATTTGAGGAGGTTTGACATCTTCACATAATTAACAGTACCACTAACATGGTATGTGTGTCCCTTTATTTATGTCTTTTAATATCTCAAATTTTAGAATTTTCCTTATAGAGATCTTGATCATTGTTTTGTTAGATTTATTCTTAGGTACATGATAATTTCTGGTATTAAAATATCTTGTCTTTAATTATGTTTTCTAATTATCTGCTGCCGAAAAATACAGACAAACCAAAAGAAAGATCAGAAAAACACATGATGTTTTGTTAGATTTATTCTTAGGTACATGATAATTTCTGGTATTAAAATATCTTGTCTTTAATTATGTTCTAATTATCTGCTGCCGAAAAATACAGACAAACCAAAAGAAAGATCAGAAAAACACATGAATATTTCATAGGAAAAAAAATAAGACATGCTCATGACTACCAATGAGCGAGAATTACAAATCAAAAGCACACAGTCAGATACCACTTTATACCTATTTGATTGTCAGAAATTAAAACGTCTGACAATATCGTATATTAAAGAGAAAGTGCATCCATAAGATCTTATACTTTGCTAGAGGAAATTCACTTTGGAAAACAGTTTGACATTTTCTCTTAAACTATACTTTATGACCCAGCAGTTCTTAAATAACATCCAAGGCAAGTTCTTGTGCATGTAAAAGAGGAGACATAACAGCAAAATTCACAGAAGCAAAAATCTGGAATCAACCTAAATGTTTATCAGTGGAAGAAGATCAGTAGACTAGTTTGTTCACTCAATGGAATGTTATGCAATATTCAGAATGAAAATATGGATGAGTATTGGCAATAAAATATTAAGTAAAAAAAAAATAAGATTATATACAGCTATGATTCAAATGATAGCTTTCTCTGGTGGAGGGAGCAGGGCTTGAAGGATATAAAGCAGAGAGCACAAACTTGTAGCCTGTTGGCTTAGTTTAACCCAAAAATGTGTTCGGCTTTCCCTCCCTGCCTCCCTCCCTCCCTCCCTCCCATCCTCCCATCCTTCTTTTCTTCCTTCCTTCCTTCCCCTCCCCTCCTTATTTCCTTTTTTCTTTATTTCTTTGCCTTTTTCTTTTTTCTTTCTCCAATCTTTACATTTCTTTTTAAATTAATACTAGCAGTAATCATTATTTGCCAAACCAGCATATGCCTGTTTCCCTTGTTTTGGGGTAGGGCCATGTACTAGTTGAGCCTTTGAATTATGAGCAGAAGTGTTATGTCACTTCTGGGTCATAGTAATTAATTGCTGTATGAAGACCTTCCTGAGCAATTTCTTCTCCCCCTGTCATGGTGTCTAGCAACACTAAATGGTGACCGTACAATCAGCCTGGGGCCCTGAGAGACTGATTAACACTGCTGGCACATAGCATTAATGAGAAATAAACCTTGTTGTTTAAAACCACTAAGATTCCAGAGTTATTTCCCCTTACAGCATAATCTAGATTTTCCTGATTGATATAGTTCCCCACGTTTAAAAATCAGGTTATTTTACATAAAAGTCTGAATTTTAATCATGAAAAACCAAAATGTCTGTCTATACTGACCTAAATTTTTTAGTGATAGTTGTTGACTAGAAGTGACTATGCATTGCCCCCTTTAAACTAGACTTAGGCTCCTCAGTTTACCCAGGTCTTCTTGATATTTGCAGCCCCCAATACCCGGTATGTAAAACAATATGTTCTGTTTTTAAGTGGCTGATTTATTTATTGTTTGGGAGTGAAAAAATTAGCATTTTTAATCTTACGGGTAGTTTCTATAAAAATGCAAAATAAAGTAGAAGCGGCAGGAACTGAATTTCAGAGGGACTTTTTTGTGTGTGTGTGTCTTTTTCGTGACTGGTAAGGGGATCACAACCCTTGGTATGGTGTCGCCCGCACCATGCTCAGCCAGTGAGCGCACCGGCCAGTCCTGTATAGGATCCGAACCCGCGGCGGGAGCATCGCTGCGCTCCCAGCGCCGCACTCTCCCGACTGCGCCACGGGGCTGGCCCTCAGAGGGACTTTTTAAAAATTATTTTTTAATTGAAATGTATTGATTATGCATATTTGTGGAATGCAGTGTTATGTTTCAATACATGTATATAAGTGTGATGATCAAGTCAGGATAATGAGCATACTCATTACAAAACTTAATCATTTCTTTCTGATGAGAATATTTGATCTTTCTTCTAGCCATTTGATAACATGCAGTAAATTATTGTTAATTATTAGATGCCTAGCTCAACCGTACACCAATAGATCCTATTTTTCCTACCTAACTGTTTTGTGTCCATTAGCCAACCTATCACTATCTCCACTCCCCCTTTTCCACCTCTAATAACCATAGTTCTGCTCTTTCCTTCTGAAAGTTCAACTTATTTTTATTATTGTTATTATTATTGTCTGTCTATTTTTTAGCTCCCACTTATGAGTGAGGACATGCAGTATTTCTCTTTCTGTGCCTGGCTTATTTCACTTAACATAATTTTCTCAAAGCTCACTCATGCTGCTGCAAATGGCAGAATTTCATTCTTTTTTATGGCTGAGTAGTATTCTACTGTGTATATATTCTGCATTTTCTTTATCCAGTCATCCATCAGTGGATATTTAGGTTGGTTCCATATTGTGGCTATTGTGAGTAGAGCTGTGATAAACATGGGAGTGCAGGTTTCCCTTTGACATGATGATTTTCATTCATTTGGTATTATATACCTAGTAGTGTGATTGCTGGATCATATCGCGGTTCTATCTGTAGTTGTTTGAGAAAGTTCCATACTGTTTTCCGTAATGGCTGTACTAATTTACAATGCCACTTTCCACGTCCTTGCCTGCATTTGTTATTTTTTGTCTTTTTGATAATAGCCAGTCTAACTGGAGTGAGATGATATCTCAGTATGGTTTTGGTTTGCATTTCTCAGAGGGAGTATTAGTAATTAAGCTAATGAGTTCAAGTGGGAGGTATGCAAGCTCAGTGACATTTTCTGATGGTGTGAATAAAGCCAAGTATAAGTTCCTGTTGCAAGATATGGGCCTCCTACATCTTGCAGCAGGATACTTTGTGTTTCTGGTTAAAATCAACAATAACATTTACTTTTTTTTTTTTTTTTTTTTTTTCCTTTTTTAGACCGGCCGCACCNTGCGCCACGGGGCTGGCCCTCAGAGGGACTTTTTAAAAATTATTTTTTAATTGAAATGTATTGATTATGCATATTTGTGGAATGCAGTGTTATGTTTCAATACATGTATATAAGTGTGATGATCAAGTCAGGATAATGAGCATACTCATTACAAAACTTAATCATTTCTTTCTGATGAGAATATTTGATCTTTCTTCTAGCCATTTGATAACATGCAGTAAATTATTGTTAATTATTAGATGCCTAGCTCAACCGTACACCAATAGATCCTATTTTTCCTACCTAACTGTTTTGTGTCCATTAGCCAACCTATCACTATCTCCACTCCCCCTTTTCCACCTCTAATAACCATAGTTCTGCTCTTTCCTTCTGAAAGTTCAACTTATTTTTATTATTGTTATTATTATTGTCAACCATAGTTCTGCTCTTTCCTTCTGAAAGTTCAACTTATTTTTATTATTGTTATTATTATTGTCTGTCTATTTTTTAGCTCCCACTTATGAGTGAGGACATGCAGTATTTCTCTTTCTGTGCCTGGCTTATTTCACTTAACATAATTTTCTCAAAGCTCACTCATGCTGCTGCAAATGGCAGAATTTCATTCTTTTTTATGGCTGAGTAGTATTCTACTGTGTATATATTCTGCATTTTCTTTATCCAGTCATCCATCAGTGGATATTTAGGTTGGTTCCATATTGTGGCTATTGTGAGTAGAGCTGTGATAAACATGGGAGTGCAGGTTTCCCTTTGACATGATGATTTTCATTCATTTGGTATTATATACCTAGTAGTGTGATTGCTGGATCATATCGCGGTTCTATCTGTAGTTGTTTGAGAAAGTTCCATACTGTTTTCCGTAATGGCTGTACTAATTTACAATGCCACTTTCCACGTCCTTGCCTGCATTTGTTATTTTTTGTCTTTTTGATAATAGCCAGTCTAACTGGAGTGAGATGATATCTCAGTATGGTTTTGGTTTGCATTTCTCAGAGGGAGTATTAGTAATTAAGCTAATGAGTTCAAGTGGGAGGTATGCAAGCTCAGTGACATTTTCTGATGGTGTGAATAAAGCCAAGTATAAGTTCCTGTTGCAAGATATGGGCCTCCTACATCTTGCAGCAGGATACTTTGTGTTTCTGGTTAAAATCAACAATAACATTTACTTTTTTTTTTTTTTTTTTTTGTCCTTTTTTAGACCGGCCGCACCGTGCTCAGCCAGTGAGCGCACCAGTCATCCCTATAGAGGATCCGAACCCGCTGCGGGAGCGCTGCTGCGCTCCCAGCGCCGCACTCTCCTGAGTGCGCCAGGGGCTCGGCCCATAACATTTACTTTTGATAGTACTTCTCGTTTAAAAAAAATATTTTCTAGACCTATTTAAGCCTTACACTAATTCCATGAGTTAAGTAGAGCAGGTAATTTTCAACTGGTTTGACAAATGAGGAAACTAAGATACTGAATAATTAATTGATTTGCCTGAAGTCACTGAGGTAGGCAGAAGCAAAGCTGGGACTGTGACTCCAGAGCCTTTAACTCTACTTTGGAAAATTTGAATAATAAACTTGTGTTGCTTCAAAGGTCAATATGCAGAATTGAAAAGTCCTGTTTGAGTTGTTCATTTACAAGGACTCATCATAATTTCATTTCTCAGGCATTTTATAGAGAATGTTATTTATAGATCTTATTAAATATAGTATGAGTGTGAATCAAATTCTCCAGTTGTCTGCACTAGAAGTTTAATACTGATATGGACAGTCCAAAAAGTATAACAGAAGTATTATTATTTAGTTTATACTTTAAAAAAAAAATTAAATATAGTATGAGTGTGAATCAAATTCTCCAGTTGTCTGCACTAGAAGTTTAATACTGGTATGGACAGTCCAAAAAGTATAACAGAAGTATTATTATTTAGTTTATACTTTTAAAAAAAATTTTATTTAGTTTATACTTTAAAAAAAAATTTTTTTTTTTTTTGCCCAGTTGTTTTATCTTCCTCTATTGCTTTATTCAGGCTACTATTGAAATTAGTTTGAATGCACTGATTAGAGCCTGACTAGACCTTGCAAGATGAAAGAAAACAATTTAGTATTAACTAGCATTCCTAAAATAAGAGACTTAATTATATTCCTGTTGTAGTGTCTACCTATGTATCAAATTGTCCTAAAAGCTATTAAAATTTAAGAGAGGGGATTCACATTTTAAAACTCAGCCATCATTTTGTTTCAGGAGAGCAGACAGAACCATAAATCAAATTTAAGACAGAGAATTCCGTTGTCTACCTGGTTTGGTCAAAATTAGTTGATTCTTTTGACAGTTATGAAATCCATTTGAGAGAGAAACCTTGCTTTGTGTCCTAAGGCCCAATTCATAGACAAATGGACTTCCTCTGAGGGTAAATTGAGAGCTGGGACAGTTTTTGTTAAATATTAATAGTATGATTTGAGAACTATTGAAATCGTATAGGAAGACGGCTGTTTTTTCCTGAGCTTTCTAGATAGAGAGTGGAGTGAGGGGACCTCTAGAGTTATCATCAAAGTTTAATGTCATTGTTTTATTTTCTTAGAGAAATTATAGTTAGTTGCTGCTCACACGAAGAAATTTTTCTTCATTCTCTTTTATATAGATTCATTTGAACCACAGCGGCGTCTCCCCGTGAAGAAAACTCGACAACAACTTCAGCGAGAAAAAGCCCTTCTAGAGCAAAGCCAAAAACTTGGGCTTCAAGATGGATCAATTTCATTACCTCCAGAGCAGCTGCTTTCTGCACCAAAACAGAGATTTAACACTCAAAAACCACATTCTTCTCCCACTGTTCTTCCTAGGAGTCTTACACTCACTTCTCCCATTGATGATGGAAAACCACAGAGTATTGAAAGTGAACCAAGGGAACTGGGACTTGAGAATTCCCATGATGGTCACAAAAATGTTGAGGTTCTACCTCCAAAGCCAGATTGCAAATTGGAGAAAAAGAAAGTGGAATTGTTAGTAAGTCTATATATCCATGAGATGTTTCGTTTTATCTTTTTTTCCCCACTGGGCTTTGAGGAAATATAGTTTTTAAAAATATTTTTTTAATTTTATATTCAAGCCTAGAAATGTGATGAATAAATTGTTAAAAAATTGTTAGGCATTTATATGTTTTATGTCATTTAGTCTTCACAACAGCCTTACAATGCATGTTTATTATTTTCACTTTATAGATGAGGTATCTCGGACTCAAATAAGATACTATCTTCCTAAAGATAATACACAGCTAGTAAGTAGTGGAGTTGAGATTCACATATAAGTCTTGTCTAGTTCCAAAGTCTGTGCCCTTTACACTTTACCAGAAGCAATGCTTATATGCGCAGTAACTCTCCTCAGATTGAACCCATTCTTCGACTTCCAGACTATAACTCCACTGGCCCAGAAAAGGGTACTTGTGAAGAAATATGAAGGGATGGTCCAAGGAGAGAGTGTAGGAAATTGAGGGGACTAATTATATAATACAGCTTCATCATTAGATTTCTTTTTATTCTTTATTTAGTGCATTTGTACTAGAAGCGACCTACATAATTTAGTTTAGCCACACTCTTGTGGAAATGGCCATTGTGTGACTTGTGAATTCTTAGAACTTTTTATTTGATAGCTTACATGTTAATATCTATTCATTTCTTTGTTCCCCCTGACCACTCATAAAGGAGAAAGAATATCATTTATTTGTTTTCTTTTTTCTGAGTCTTTTTTCAGTATCTGATATTTTTGTCTAATCTCAGGTATTTTTTTAATCTCTGCTGATCCAGATTCTATATTATGAGTTTAAAATGTTTTCTGCCCACCAGGGATTTACAATTAAGAAATTATTTTGATAAGAGATAAAAAACCTATGTGAATTATGAAGCCAACATTGAACAAGTGCAAAGGCTTTAGTCAGGTGGGGGTGAGTTTAAATTGAGCTGGATGATTTAGATTGGATATCATTAGGAAAATTATTCTTATTTTAGATATTTGGGAGAAATTGTATAGAAGACTTGTAATCTGAGGAACCATTAACAAAAAGGAGAAATTCTGTGGTTCTAAGAAGGAGAAAGGACAGCTGTATTCTAGAGAATGCTCAGAGGTGACATCTCACTTTTCTGGGAGAGGCAAACGATAGCCAGAGGATAGTAGAGAATTAAAGTGAGGAAGGCCTTGGAAGCAGAGGATGCCTGTCTAGTGAGTTCACTGATGCAGCAGGATACCACCTAGGCCTCTGAGGGAGAAATCCCTGATCAAAATAGTGATTAGAGAAATTCCAGGTGTCAGTGTTGCAGACTACTTGGGAGAGTGCTGGGTGGGCTGAAACTAAGGCAGCTGGTGAGGAGATGCCTGTGATAGTAAAAGTGAGAAATGACAAGTGCAAGCACTAAGGTGGAAGCTGTAGGAATGGAGAGAAGAAGATAGTTTTGGAAGTGATTACTAGGTTTGTGAATAGAGACTTCTGATAATAATGACTGTAAGAAATCACAATAATAAGAATAAATAGTTTTGCCATTACCTTGTTTAATTTGTGTTGATGTCAAGTGTATGACTTTATGGGAAATTTTAATATATTTCTTTCAGAATTGGACAGATTGGAAGACAATATACATCTTCAGATCTTTGAAGTTTTTCTTTAGCCCAGCATTCAAATCTTAGTTCATAGTGTTTTACTCTCTTTAAAAATGTCTGAAAGTTGGAAAATAGCAAATTGAAAGGAAATATATGAAATAAACATTGATTATTGTCTTAAGGATATTGAGGTAGAGAAGACTTCATTATAGAGAACTCTAAAAGGTATACCATGACATCAGCTACAGACCAATTTATTTTGATCTCCATTTTGCATATAATAGTCAATCAACTTACACAAATTTCTTTGTACTCTTAGAAAAACGCCACAGTACTCTGGCTTCCAGTTTGTGGGTTCCTAGAATATATACATATAATGGATTTCAAAGGGGCAACTTATGTAAGCCTCTTTACTTCAGATTATAGTCTTTGTTCCTATTAGAACAAAATAATGAACTTCAGATGGGTTTTTTTTAAGAGGACTTTTGAAAGAAAAGATACATAATCTGCTTGATTAAATTTTATATTTAGGGACTGAGACTTGTAAGATGCGGGATGGGGTAGCAGTCTCTTTCATAATCTCATTTTTATACTTGTTTTGCTCCCTAGGCAAGAAAAATCTCGTTGGGAAGTCCTCCAACAAGAACAACGGCTGATGGAAGAGAAAAATAAACGTAAGAAAGCTCTTTTGGCTAAAGCTATTGCAGAAAGGTGAGACACCCGAATCAGGAGAGGTTGTTTGTAACCAGCAATCAGTTCTGTCCATGTTTTACAATTATCTTCCTATGTCTGTTCTACTACACTGAATACAGTTGCAATTAAAACTTAGGGACCAGCATTAGTGTTTTCAGTTTTAGCCATCTACACATTCATAAGGGAAGCAGTAAATAGCTATCAATATATCTAAATTAGCAGCAAAATGCAGGGTTTTTTGTTTTTTGTTTTTTTTTTGTCCTTTTTGAGACCGGCCGCACCGCGCTCAGCCAGTGAGCGCTGTGAGCCTACTGGTCATCCCTATACAGGATCCAAACCCACGGCGGGAGCGCTGCTGCGCTCCCAATGCCGCACTCTCCCGAGTGCGCCACGGGCTCGGCCCAAAAATGCAGGTTTTAATTTTGATATGGGGAGGCCTTAATCATCTGTTGTGTAGAGGAATAAGGTTATTCTATATAAGTGACTTATACTCCCACAAATCTTAATTGTTTTTCCAATGGACATGTTTCTTTAATAATTTACCCTGTCCTCACTAGTAGAAAATATGTGATATAGTTACCATTTATTGATGACCCAAGGTCACCATTATGAGCACTGTGTGAGATTCAATTTTTCTCTCCCCTCTGTGAGTCTGTCAGTGATCCCTTCTATTTACTGCGTTGTACTGGCCCTGAACAGTAACATTCCCATTTGAGCCACTCTACACATCCCCCACCACTCTTGCTGACCTTTTAGTTTGTAGTTTCTAATCTCCTGTGTCCTTGAGAAACTAAACTTAGTCAATAAAGCAATGGTTGAGATAGTGAGAACTAAATGCAAGCATTTCAGTTGCAGTTTCTTTTTAGACCTCCAGAAAAGTCTGGCAAAATTATAATTGCTTGAGGCTGGAGTGGGTGCAGGAGAAGAGGGAAAGGAGGAAGGTAAGTGGATGTAAGAGTAATTCAGAATTTTATCTGCCAGAGAGATATACAAATGTGAAAATGAAGATTTTTTTTCCTGCTTGTTGGGAAAATAGGATAATTTAATCAGGCCCCCTTCCGGTTGGAGGTGGTGTGGCACATTCTTCATAAGCAAATTGTGTGTGGGGGGGGGTGGAGTTAGTGCTCATGCGGAGCTCCATGACTTGGCTGGCATCTGCCTCGGGTGTCTGCACCCGTACGGCCATGCTCTCAAACCTACTGCTTCCGAGGACCTGTTTACCAGTTACCTAGCTCATAGACTTGTGTGTGAGGGGTCTGGGGACTTAGCCTGGCGTGTAAAGAGTTTGTGACCCAGTCTGGAATGGGTTTGATGAGTCTGTGAGCTCCAGACCCAGCCCTAGCTGGACAATTGTCACAGTCGGGGCAGGATTACAGGCAGGTAAGAGTGCAACACTACTACTGGTACACCTTGATCTTTTATGAAGAATAGGAAATATGCAACTCACTGACTTACTGCATTTCAAGAGGAAAAAAAACATATAAAAGAGTAATGCCATCTTTTTTTTCCCACAAGGGATTATTAAAAATCATTTTGATAGTCTTCAATTTGGAGTGGGGAAGCTATTTACAAGGGATTTTACAAAAAGATTTATAGGCTCGGAAGCAGATTAGATTTTCTCTAAATGCTTTTGATTTAAGACAGAAAGCACTGATATAGACATAAATGTAAAGAAATAACGTTTGGATTATTAATAAGTAGACAGTGAAGTATTTGAAGTAAAAGGATCATACTGGTAAGTGAACTTTTGTAGGCAGAAAGGATGGGAAAATGCATAATGGAGTAGAAATCAGGAGAATGTAAGTTGCATATATGTGGTTGTATGTGAAAGGTTTTCTTCTCCCTCAAAAATGTGTATAAAATTTTGAAATGAGTGAAATCATGATTAAAGGTTTGCTTTTATATTTGCTTATTCTGTTATTTAAGTGTATATTATATTTGGGGTTGGTGAGGGATCTGAGAGATGATGAGGTTGAATGTGCTTTTAAACAAGGAAAGAAAAAAGTGTTTTGGTTTTTAGCCTTACAAAGAATTTTGAGGACCTGTAGTTTTGCCTAGAGAATAAGAATCAAAGCAATTAAAGTTAAAACCAAAGTCCTAAGAAACTTAAAACCAAATAGATGTTTTCAGACATAAAGAAATGTCGCTTAATGCAGGCATCTGTTCTTGATGTCAGGTAAGTATCAGACAAGTGAAAATGGGTTTAACAAGAAGAATTTAAGACAAGAAATTTGGAAAGTTGTGTTGGATGTTCCAATGTAAAGGGAATACAGATATATTCTTTTAGTGCTTGTTCTCCAGAACTATTTATTGGGATTTTTTTTTTTTAACTCTTACTTTTTAATTTTTTTATGAAAATAGTAGGTACTAATAGATAGTTTGAAAAAATAAGGAAAAAAGTTCAAATGCAGTCTTAGAGATATACCAAAATGTTACTAGCATTTATTTTATTTCAATTTTTCTGATTTTTCCAATTTTTAAAAAATCATTAATTATAATATACATAGTATCTTACTTATACATGGTTTTAAAATGTTATTTTTTCCACTCATGTTTCTGATTTTCTAGATCTGAAAGAACTCAGGCAGAGACCATGAAACTAAAGCGGATCCAGAAAGAGTTACAGGCTTTAGATGACATGGTATCAGCTGACATTGGAATCCTCAGGAACTGGATTGATCAGGCCAGCTTAGACTATTCATATGCTCGGTGAGTTGAGGACATTGCACTTTGAACAAGGAGTCTGAATTAATGTTTATTGCTAGCTGGGCCAGGAACTTTTATGTATATCATCGTTTAAGCCTCATAACAACCCATTAGGAGCTGTATTTATTCCTCCTTTGTGCTAATACAAGTGTCTCCTCTTCTGTGAAGTCTTCCTTAACTCTGCTTTCCCAGTGAACCTTCCTTGTTCATATGCTTGCTAGAGCATTTCTTACATTATTTATATGTTAGTCTTTCCTGCTAAGCCATTTGCTGTTTAATGTTTTGGACTCTGAATCTTTCAGGATTTAGCAAAATAAATGTCTGAGTGACTTGCTGTAAAACTTATTCTACCACCAGGTCTGTTCTTTTTCTGTTAAAATTTTTGATTTTCTGATATGGTCTGTATGGGATTATAGCCTAGTTCTCATTTCTGTTTTCATTAAAGTAAGAGAATTGAGTTTATTTTCTAAAAACTTATGAATATTTTAAAGAAAATACCCGTCTGTTTTGGAAACTTGAAATTGTTTCTCCTATTTATTTCTTTTCGATTTTATTCTGTACAGAGCAGTTTGATATCATGTTTCCTTGATTTCAACCATTGGTATATATACTTTTTGGTTTATTATTAATTTCCTTTAATCTTTTAAAAAAAATTTTATTTGTGCCTATTTATGGGGTACAGAGTTGATTATCAGTATTTGTGTACAGGATGTGATGATCAAATCAATATTATTAGCATGTTCATCATTATAAATCGTAATTATTCTTTGTGTGCCTTATCCAGTTGCTCCCTATCCTCAATGGTATTTTTTTAAAGAGAATAAAAACATCATGGAGTAGTTTTAAAACAAACTAACACATGTAAAGAATTACATGGACTTTGCAAACAGATAAAAGGGTAAAAAATTATGTCCAATTTCAGAGTTTTCAGTCCTTTCAACATTGCTTTAATCATCCTGGTTTGTCTTTTTTCACAAGGGAATGCTGTGTTAATGATTCAGTTTTGTATCTTTCTCTGTAACACTAGAAATCAATCAGAATGCCTCATTAGTCCAGGGTAAACCACAACATCAGATGTTTATGTAACAATTTAATAAAGCGGAAATGCTTGCTTGTGGTTTTTAATTCACTGTTTGGTGTTTAAGAAAGAGGTTTGTGGTTGTCCTTGTGATTTTTGTAATTGTTGTTTGGCTATATGCTATTAACATTAAGGGGTTGCCTTTATTAATTAATTGCCTAAATTAATGCCATCAGTAGCTGATAACTAGAGGCTCCAGATTTCTGTTAATAAGGTCATTAATGAGGTAACCAAGATTTTAATATTAAACTAAGCCTTGATTTTTAGCACATTTTATTCTTTGTACCATAAATTTTCCAGAGGAACATTTTTATGTCTTTGTAGCCTTTTATGTGAATAATTCATATTATAAGGTACAGTGCTAAGTACTTCAGCAGAAAAATAACCTGATTACATTTTAATTCTGTCCTAGTGGAAGATGGTGAAGGATGCCTTCGAGTATTGATTATTTATAAGAAATGTCATAGTTTTAGTCTTCAGAGAACCACAATGAAGATGGGAATACTAGTTAAAGGAGAAAATATCCCATAATATATAAATATTCTTAATGAAATTTTTGTAAATTTTTGCATAGTAAAAATATTTTACATAGTAAATTTTTACATATTTAACAAGCTAAAGATGACAATTTCTCATGGTATTGATATTGACATAGTAGTATGTAACTGGATGCTGTATGAGGCTGTTTTTAAAAGCCTAAGCTCTTGAGTTAAGTCTAAGAGAAGCCATCAACAGTTGTGAATAGAACCATGGGTTTTTTTATTTATATATAACATTAAGACAACATTTTCTAAATTTGCATTTGTGATTATTGAGAAATTATAAATTGGTAATATAATATTATGGTCCAGATTTCTACTGAAAGGTAATTCCCAGGGCAGTCAATTTCTATGGGAGATTGCCTTGATTTTTTTAATAAAAATAATATCTTCTGCTAGACCTTGGTACAGTGCTATGTTTGCCAAGGGTTCTTGGACAGTGAATAGGCCAGAATTCGCTTTAAAATTGGCTTCTGTAGGTGTAGGTGTTAGGATAGACACCTCTGAGGAGAAGCAGCACTTTGAGCCTATTTGAGAGCTGCTGCTGCTGCTGCTGCTGCTCAGAGGTATGGTTGCAATGTTGCCATATGCTACCCAGACCAGCTTATAAAACTGAGAGTGGCTTCTTGTAGAACATTTTTTTGAATCCTCAGTATACTAAGAAAAATAGTTAGCACTACTTATCATCTAAGTTTAATAAACATTCTTATATACACACACAGAGGCAAATGTTTTGAATCATTTTATGAATACTTAATAAAAGTAAGAAAAAAGAGATTGTGGAAAACAACTTCATTTAAAAATTTTGGTAAGAATATAAACAAAGTAAACCTCTTTGCATCATGTAATGTTTGACTCAAACATTTTAAAAAGCTGAGAGAATGTTGTTATATCCCTTTAGCAGCACAGAGTAGTCCAGGTACCTGTAAAATAGTGGGTGATTAAGTTCTTCCTTTTGAAATTATTAACTGTGTGAGGCTATCACATTTCCTTTTTATCCTTAGAAATATATTTTTCACACATTGATTCTTGAGTTTGAGAAAATTCACCTACGATACGATTTTCTAAACTCTCACAGTCTGAGATTTCACTTAAATGATCAATTTCATGTCAAAAGAGTTTGTATTAGTTTCCTGGGATTGCCATAAGAATTACTGCAACTGAGTGGCTTAAAACTACATTAATTCTTCTCTCACATTTCTGGAGACCAGACATCAGAAATCAAGGTATTGGTAAGGTCATGCTTTCTTCAGAGACTTTAAAGATCCATTCCCCGCCTTTTCCAACTTCTGGTGACTGTAGGCATTCCTTGGTTTGTGGCCATACCACTCCATTCTGTGCCTCCATAGTCACATTGCTTCCTCCTCTTCTCTCTCAAAACTTCCTCCACCTGTCTTAAAAGCATACGTTGATTGTACTTAGGTACCAACTAGATAATCTGAAATAAAATTCTCTCAAAATCCTTAATTTAATTACATTTTATGTCATGTAAGGTAATTTTCATTCTTTTGTCATATATAATAATATTCACAGACTCCAAGGATTGGGAAGTGAATATCTTTGAAAGGCCATTTTTTAGCCTCCCACAGAATTCCTCTTTTCATTTGTCTAACAGAGGCAAAATGTTTTCCTCTGTGAATTTTCTCTACTTTGTCAATATTGGCAGAAAATGAAAAAATATATTAATTCTCAACTGTGTTCAGTGAAAACTGAGAACAAGTTACAAAGATGGAGTTTCCAGTCTTCTTTTATACTTTCTTGAGTTGATGTAATACTTTGGACAGCACATTACAGAAGCTAAGCAATGATAATTTATTTCATTATTGCATCATCCTTTTAGATCATCCCTTAATTCTCTGTTTTATTATTTTAATTTTTTTAGCATAAATGGGAATGATGAATAATGATGAAATAATTCCCAGGGTGATGAAATAGCAAAATATTTCAAGATATAGGAAAAGCAATATCTCTATAATCCCGTAATGTATCTTAGATTTATAAAAGGGTCTGTTGGACCAATCTAGTAATTGCAAAATAGAATTTGTTTTATTCTGTTTTTTAAAAAAATAAGTAAATTTTTTCTTTGTTCTTTGAAAGACTTCTAAGAAAAGATAAAAATCATGATGTGTCAATCTGTACAAATAGAACTGCACAGAAAAAGAACTGAAAAACTGAAAGTGGATCAGTGGAACCTTATGGTATACCAGAGGTTAATGATTGGGTTTTTAAAAAAATTTCACAGGTACCAAAACCAAGAGACAGTTTCTAGAATCCTTTAAATAATATTCATTAAATCATTCAATGTCCCTTTAAAGTAACAAAACAATTCCAAAATTGCATTTCTAGTTCAATATGTCTTACACGTCATCATACTCTGATTTGGTATTATCCACCTGACCCACAAGGCTGGTAGTGCAGTTTGTGAAACTAACCCAATATTTTAAACATCAAATCACTCTGAGAATGTATATGCATGTTTCTGGCCAGAAAGACTTTAGATACATAAACAAAATACAAAATTGTAAGTGATTTATCTGGGATTAGAGATCAATGGAAACCTAGAGACCTATTTGCAAATGTTAATTTCAATTCTGTATTCATGAGCCCAGTCTGTAAATCACTAATAACTTACTTTGACTGGCTGATATTCTTATATTTACTAGGTGGCAGTAAAAAAAGAAATATGATAAATGAACATTTATGTAAGAGTTTTCAAGTATAAATACCAGGTCCCTAAATTCTGTGTAATCTTAATTTTAGACACATGTTTACTTATGTACTAGCAGTAGTTTTTGATTCTGATGCTCCAAAGGGGAAGTTTTGTTGCTTGAGTGCCTGTTGGGGCACTAGTCTAGATNAGATTGCCTTGATTTTTTTAATAAAAATAATATCTTCTGCTAGACCTTGGTACAGTGCTATGTTTGCCAAGGGTTCTTGGACAGTGAATAGGCCAGAATTCGCTTTAAAATTGGCTTCTGTAGGTGTAGGTGTTAGGATAGACACCTCTGAGGAGAAGCAGCACTTTGAGCCTATTTGAGAGCTGCTGCTGCTGCTGCTGCTGCTCAGAGGTATGGTTGCAATGTTGCCATATGCTACCCAGACCAGCTTATAAAACTGAGAGTGGCTTCTTGTAGAACATTTTTTTGAATCCTCAGTATACTAAGAAAAATAGTTAGCACTACTTACCATCTAAGTTTAATAAACATTCTTATATACACACACAGAGGCAAATGTTTTGAATCATTTTATGAATACTTAATAAAAGTAAGAAAAAAGGGATTGTGGAAAACAACTTCATTTAAAAATTTTGGTAAGAATATAAACAAAGTAAACCTCTTTGCATCATGTAATGTTTGACTCAAACATTTTAAAAAGCTGAGAGAATGTTGTTATATCCCTTTAGCAGCACAGAGTAGTCCAGGTACCTGTAAAATAGTGGGTGATTAAGTTCTTCCTTTTGAAATTACTAACTGTGTGAGGCTATCACATTTCCTTTTTATCCTTAGAAATATATTTTTCACACATTGATTCTTGAGTTTGAGAAAATTCACCTACGATACGATTTTCTAAACTCTCACAGTCTGAGATTTCACTTAAATGATCAATTTCATGTCAAAAGAGTTTGTATTAGTTTCCTGGGATTGCCATAAGAATTACTGCAACTGAGTGGCTTAAAACTACATTAATTCTTCTCTCACATTTCTGGAGACCAGACATCAGAAATCAAGGTATTGGTAAGGTCATGCTTTCTTCAGAGACTTTAAAGATCCATTCCCCGCCTTTTCCAACTTCTGGTGACTGTAGGCATTCCTTGGTTTGTGGCCATACCACTCCATTCTGTGCCTCCATAGTCACATTGCTTCCTCCTCTTCTCTCTCAAAACTTCCTCCACCTGTCTTAAAAGCATACGTTGATTGTACTTAGGTACCAACTAGATAATCTGAAATAAAATTCTCTCAAAATCCTTAATTTAATTACATTTTATGTCATGTAAGGTAATTTTCATTCTTTTGTCATATATAATAATATTCACAGACTCCAAGGATTGGGAAGTGAATATCTTTGAAAGGCCATTTTTTAGCCTCCCACAGAATTCCTCTTTTCATTTGTCTAACAGAGGCAAAATGTTTTCCTCTGTGAATTTTCTCTACTTTGTCAATATTGGCAGAAAATGAAAAAATATATTAATTCTCAACTGTGTTCAGTGAAAACTGAGAACAAGTTACAAAGATGGAGTTTCCAGTCTTCTTTTATACTTTCTTGAGTTGATGTAATACTTTGGACAGCACATTACAGAAGCTAAGCAATGATAATTTATTTCATTATTGCATCATCCTTTTAGATCATCCCTTAATTCTCTGTTTTATTATTTTAATTTTTTTAGCATAAATGGGAATGATGAATAATGATGAAATAATTCCCAGGGTGATGAAATAGCAAAATATTTCAAGATATAGGAAAAGCAATATCTCTATAATCCCGTAATGTATCTTAGATTTATAAAAGGGTCTGTTGGACCAATCTAGTAATTGCAAAATAGAATTTGTTTTATTCTGTTTTTTAAAAAAATAAGTAAATTTTTTCTTTGTTCTTTGAAAGACTTCTAAGAAAAGATAAAAATCATGATGTGTCAATCTGTACAAATAGAACTGCACAGAAAAAGAACTGAAAAACTGAAAGTGGATCAGTGGAACCTTATGGTATACCAGAGGTTAATGATTGGGTTTTTAAAAAAATTTCACAGGTACCAAAACCAAGAGACAGTTTCTAGAATCCTTTAAATAATATTCATTAAATCATTCAATGTCCCTTTAAAGTAACAAAACAATTCCAAAATTGCATTTCTAGTTCAATATGTCTTACACGTCATCATACTCTGATTTGGTATTATCCACCTGACCCACAAGGCTGGTAGTGCAGTTTGTGAAACTAACCCAATATTTTAAACATCAAATCACTCTGAGAATGTATATGCATGTTTCTGGCCAGAAAGACTTTAGATACATAAACAAAATACAAAATCGTAAGTGATTTATCTGGGATTAGAGATCAATGGAAACCTAGAGACCTATTTGCAAATGTTAATTTCAATTCTGTATTCATGAGCCCAGTCTGTAAATCACTAATAACTTACTTTGACTGGCTGATATTCTTATATTTACTAGGTGGCAGTAAAAAAAGAAATATGATAAATGAACATTTATGTAAGAGTTTTCAAGTATAAATACCAGGTCCCTAAATTCTGTGTAATCTTAATTTTAGACACATGTTTACTTATGTACTAGCAGTAGTTTTTGTGGCAGTAAAAAAAGAAATATGATAAATGAACATTTATGTAAGAGTTTTCAAGTATAAATACAAGGTCCCTAAATTCTGTGTAATCTTAATTTTAGACACATGTTTACTTATGTACTAGCAGTAGTTTTTTATTCTGATGCTCCAAAGGGGAAGTTTTGTTGCTTGAGTGCCTGTTGGGGCACTAGTCTAGATGCTTGCCCTATTTATACTGTTTAATTCTTAACACTCCTATGAGTCTAAGATAGACTTAAGACTCAGCTGAAGTAACTTCCCAGAGTCACTGTACTGGAGTTTTCAGTCATTGCATGACCCCTTCCACTGGAACCTGGCTGTCTTTTGTACTCATGATGCTGACCCTAACTGTTTAATTCTTAACACTCCTATGAGTCTAAGATAGACTTAAGACTCAGCTGAAGTAACTGCCCAGAGTCACTGTACTGGAGTTTTCAGTCATTGCATGACCCCTTCCACTGGAACCTGGCTGTCTTTTGTACTCATGATGCTGACCCTAGGGTACGCCTGATTGGAACAAAAATGGGCTGCTGACTCTAGGACATTAAATGCATAGGCTAAACAGTGGCTCATGGCATGGCCTGACACTAGCACCTCTGTTTAAACTGAGATGAGCCAGGCCAACCCAGTCTCTCCCTCTGGGATTATGGAATTGGATCACTGAGAGATTGAGTGAAATGAATGTGATGTAGATCTGCAGCTGGTGATTGGGCTGTGAGTATGACAGGAAAGCTGAAGTGAGAGAAACTGTTTGCCTCTAAGAATTGAATAGAATAGCCTTTGATTCTGATGGCATGTCTGTGAAATTGCCTCTTGTATTCTCCAATAAAACCCAATTTTTACCTGAGCTACTTACTGGATATCTGTTCTTTGCATCCAAAAAAGTCTTGACCAAAACAGGTACATACAGTAAATGGCAGAGGAAGGTTTTTGAACCCTGGGTTCTTTAAAATCAAAGCCTTTCTTTTTTCCCAGTATATTTCCTTACAGTACAAAGAATCTTACATTAGGAGATATACCTGTTTCTTTTTTGCTTTAACTCTTGTACTAGAAACTGCTTACTACATTGAGTTGATGTAGGCTGTCATAACAGGCAAGACAACATGACTTTCACAATTGTTAGTGGTAATTAAGTTAAATTCCAGTAGAATTACACTACTTCCCATAAGACTGTCATTACCTTTTGAAAGAGTTTACATATGCGTAAATACAGAAAATTTCCTAATAAAAGTGTAACAATTGTCTGTTGCTGCTGAATAGAGAGAGTGAGGACAACTTAACCCTGGGATTCTTAACTGGGAACAATTTTACCCCCTCAGGAACATTTGGTAATGTCTGGTGACATTTTTGGTAGTCACAAGTGGCAGGTAGTGGGTAGAAGCCAGTGACGCTGTTCAGCATCCTGTAAGATACAGGACTGCTCCTCACAACAAATAATTATGTGGCCCAAATTGTCAATAGTGCTAAGGGTGAGAAGTCCTGCCTAAACCTATACTGAGGTTTTCTATTCTGCTTGATGTTTACTTCTTGCCCTCACCCAGTATCATTTTGCTGGGTGTGCTCTGTTCCATTTGTATTCACCTCCCCACCACTGTCCTATCCTTCATTGAAATTTTTCTTCCTTTTCCAATCCATTAATCAAGAGATACAGATTGGCTTTCTCCACCTTTTGTTTTACCTTTCATAAATTGAACTAGTTTTGTGCTGGAGCTAGCTTGCACTGGCTCATGAGAGCAGATTTTGTGCATCTCTTCCCAATTTGCATTCAGTGATGTCATGAAATTGGCCTGGGTGATAGTATTTATACCACAGAAAATGACAAATGCTCTACATCAGTGGTCTCCTCCCTTCTGGAAGTAGCATACCACTGAATTAACCCTCTTAGCCTGCCTTCACTCAGGTACAACTTTGGAAAGAAGAAATGAGTGCAGAAAAATGTTGTTACATCAGGTGAATCCAAATAAGGATGTTGTGAATCTTCCACAGCTATAGCCTAGTTTTTCTAACATGTGTTTGTAAAATATTAATATCCATTTCTTCCTCATATATATTTTTTCAATTTAGGAGTTTAATTATTGTTTCTAGACTTTCTTTCAAATATCTTCCTCAATGGAAAACTTACGGACCATTCTTTGTACCTGTCCTTACAGGAAGCGATTTGACAGGGCTGAAGCAGAATACATTACAGCAAAGTTAGATCTACAGCGCAAGACTGAGATAAAAGAGCAGCTCACTGAACACCTTTGTACAATCATACAACAAAATGAGCTTCGAAAGGCCAAGAAGTTGGAGGAGTTGATGCAACAACTGGATGTACAAGCTGATGAGGAGACTTTGGAGCTTGAGGTGGAAGTGGAAAGATTGCTGCAGGAACAAGAAGCAGAAGCAGGGAAACAGATGGTTCATTTAGAAAGGCCATTTCAGCCTGCTGGGGAGAGTGTGACATTAGGATTTGGTAAAGAGAGCAAAAAGCATCAAGAACAAGCTACTTCCCCAAAGGTATATGAACAATGTGAAAATTCCAATAGCATCCCCCTTCTTAGTCCAGACTGCCCAAATGAAGAAGTTAATGACATTTCAGCTGCTCTGGCCACATGAAGTGCCACTGTTCTTTTCAACTAATACTGTATTCAGTAAAGTACTTTCTGCAGTAGATTATGCCCCAACCTCTGATAAAAGCCTCTTTAAAACAGTTTTAATTTTTGAATTCATGATTAGTTTTAGTAGGTTAACATTTTTGACCATTCTCAAGTCGCAAATTATGATAATTTTATATCTAGGTGCATATATTTCACCTTGAATTTGGTCCAGTTCCTTCAGTGTTCGTTTTATTCTTTTTCTTTCTTTTTTTTTTTTTGTCTTTTTTCGTGACCGGCAACGGATTGCAACCCTCAGTGTTGCGCCCGTACCGGACCGGGACCGGCAACGGGAACGCCACCCTTGGAGTTGCTCCCGCACCTAGATCA